AGAAGGAGCTGGAGGTGCCTGTCCTACCTCTTCAGCAAAGGACAGTGCCAGGTGAGCAGGGTGTGGAGTGTCACGTCCTAGCACAGGGACACATGCCCTCCCTTCACCCCCACCCCAGAGGGAGGCTGTGACAGTTTCCACAACAGGAGGAATGCAGCTGATTGAGCCATAAGGTCCCCACATGCCAACTCCAGGACTTGAACAGTCCCAGCATGCCTCCTGCCAGCCCCAAATCTGTGACTCACTGAAGGGGAAGAGCCCCAGTTCCCAAAGGCCCTGCAGCACATGCTGTGAGTGGTAAATGCCACTGGGGATGGAGGTGCAGGACCATACTTGATGTTCTGCTGGCCATGGAAGGTCATGAAGTAGAGTGGGAGGTCCTCAAAGCGATCGGCCCACTCATCATACAGCTCCAGCTGGTCCTCCAGGCGCCGACCCGCAAACTGCGTCAGCATGATCTTGGCCAGGCGGACGTTGTTGATCTCAAAGCTGCCCCACAGCGTGCACACTCCCTGCATGCACAGGTCCAGCGCGTACTCACTGATAAAGGTGGTCTTCCCGCTGCCCGTCGGGCCTGGCGCAAGAACAGAAACAGAAGGAATTAGCTGGGGAGATGATCCTACCCATCCTGAACGTGCTGGCAGGCTGTTGAGAGGTGGAAGCACCAGGGAGTGGGGTAAGAGAGGCCCATGCACAGTACTCACACCATAAATAAACAACATCTCACGCCACACTGCACGCCTGGGTGCATAGGCGTTGCCTCCCACAGCCTGTGGGTGCCTGGGAAGGGCTGGGCAGGCGGTGGGGTGGGCACAGGGAGGGCTCAGACAGGAGGTGGCAGGCGGGAGCAGGCGTAAGGGACAGTCCAGGACTTCCTGTGCTGCCCCAGGCAGGGAGCCCATCACCACATCGGCATGCCCAGTCCTACCCAGTCCTACTGAGGAATGCACCCCAGCCTCTCACACTCCTGTGAGACAGGCTCAGTCAAACCCAAGAGCAGAGAGACTTGGAAGACGCATGAGGCATCAACACCAGAAGGGTGAAGCCACTAAAGAGCCTTCTGCTCCCCTTGTCCACCAGCCACTGTGCCCCCTACCTGTGAAGACGGTAAGCTCCCCTCTGCGGTGCCCTTTGAGGAGCTTGTTGAGCTCGGGGAAGCGCACCCACTTGATGCCAGCCACCTGCTCAGTGTTGGCTAGCTCCCCAAACACTTCCTCACGCAGCTGCCGGAAGGAGATGATGGATTTGTGGCTGGCGGGCAGGGCAGCACGCAAGATCTTGGTGAAGTTCAGGCCCTGGTTCAGAGCCTCCAAGGGCCGGGGCTGCAGGTTCCCAGGGCGCACCAGGGAGCAGCGCTTGAGGCTCAGCTTGCGGGCAAAGAGCTTGGCAGCTTCCCAGGAGCGCAGGTCCTCACCGAGCCACAGGGTGATGCGCTTGAACTGCTCCAGGTAGGGGAGGAGGGCAGGAGGCAGGCATGTGGTCCCCCGCGGCAGGGCCAGGCTGGCCACCCCTGCTTGGTGCAAGGCCAGGGCATCCAGCTCCCACCCAGTTAAGACCAGCTCTGTGTCTCGGCAGCCGATCAGGGGCAGCCCAAAAAGATTGTGATAGGAATCGATGCGGGGTAAAGTCTCTTCCAGGTAAGATATTGCATTCCCCTTTTTCTCCACCCTCACAAGCTTCAGGCCTTTCAGGGTTGCATTGCGGGGGCTGAACCAGGGGAAGACCAGGGACTTGGCAGTCCTCAGATAACGCACCCCAAAGCGTTTCAGGGTGGCATTTGACACCAGGGAGATACCAAACATGGCCTTGGTCTTGTTGGTCTCCTCCTCATCCAGCAGCTCCCAGAGTGGCAGAGCCCGGTCCCAGATGCAGCGGGCATCTTCGCTAGCCTGTCGCATGTCCTCTTCCATCTCCTCCGAGTTGGCGGGGGGAATACCACGGTGCTGCAGCTCCACGTTGGCCTGGAAGTCCTGCCAGGTGCCCTCGGCCAGGGTGGCCGTGCACAGGAAGCTGCCCGTGGTCTTGTCAATGAAAAGCGTGTACGGGGCACTGCCGGCTGTCTGCGGCGGCTGGTCCGCGTGGCCGGCGGTGAAGAGGCTGGGGGTGTGCAGGCAGCTGTACCCGTCGTGGAAGGGGATGTCGTGGGCCCGCAGGTACTGACGGATCTCGGTGATGGAGACGGAGGGTGCGGGCCCCTCGGGGGAGGGCAGTACGTCCTTCTTGTAGCGCCGCTGGCCGAGGCGGCCCGGCACCCCAGGGCTCAGCGAGGCTCCCTTGCTCCTGGTCCCCCCGCAGAACACCGGCAGGAGGCGGCCGGCGGCTCTGCCGGGCCGCAGGGGCACCAGCGCCATCCTGACCGCCCCCGCACCCTCCCGCGCCGCTGCCGCTCCGCATGGGCGACTACCCCGCGGCCCCCGGCCCCGCAGAGCCGCTCAGGCCGCCGCCCCCACGTGGGGCCACACGGACACCGCCATTACCTGGTCCCGCTCCCCGAGCGTCACTTCCCGGCGGGGCGGGGGCGGCTGTTCCCTGTCCCGCCCCGCCGGCGGTTCCGGCTCCGGGTGAACGCGGCACCATGACGGGCCGCGGGTCGCCCAGCCGGTTCCTCACCGCCGTCCTGCACAACGGCGTCGGTCGGTACGTGCGGCAGCTCCAGCGCCTGCAGTTCCTCTTCAGCCCCACCGCAGCCGACGCCCGCGGCGCCAGGTACCGCCGGAGGTGCCCATCCGCCTTCCTGGGTTGGGAGTGGGGAGCCGGGGAGCCCCTTAACTGGGGGAGGAGGGTCTTCCCCCTGCCCTGTCAGCGTAGGGAGGGGACGGGGCTGCAGCCCCATGACCACAGTGGAGCGGCGGAGGGGGACGCCGAACCTCCTGCGAGACGGGACTGGGGCTGGAAGGCGGCACCGGTGACCCCTGAGCTCCGCCCTGGCACAGGGGGCATCACCCCAACTTCTGCACTGTGACCCCTCCCGTGGGCAGGGCATGGGAGGGGTGACCCCACTTGTGACCTTCGTCCTGGGGTGGGGGCTACAACCCTCCCCCATCTCTGGCCTGGCTGGGGCTCATGGTCCCCCTGTTCCCCAGGCAATTCGTAGAGGAGGCAGCACAGGACTTTGCTCGGCAGCACCCCGATGTTGTTCTCTACGTGAGCCCCGGCTCAGGCACGGCCCCGCTGGTGCGGGCTGAGTACTGTGAGTGCTTGGGGACATGGGGAGAGAATGGGGATGGGGCTGTCCCTGCCGTGTCCTGGCTCCGCGCGACCTCTGCCTGGTGCAGATGGTGCTGAGGCAGCTGCTGATCTGTGGGATGAGGGATCAGCAGCTGCCCCCCGGAGGCCTTTGGAGTGGGGGGATCCTGGCCTGACCCCCTCACTCTGCTGCAGTGAACGGGACAGTGCGGGAGGAGCTCATCGCCAGCAAGACAAGCGAGGAGATCGTGCAGCTGGTCATGAAGCTGGCCAACCAGTCCGGCCTGGACATCATCCGCATCCGCAAGCCCTTCCACACTGACAATCCCAGTGTCCAGGGCCAGTGGCACCCCCTCACCAACAAACCCTCCATCCTCACTGTCCAGGGCCCACGCCTGCAGCCCCAATAAAGCCTCTTCAACCCGCATCCCCATGCGTCTGCATCCATCTCTCTTGCCTGCAGATAGACACCACCACACCATGTCCAGACAGAGCCATGTTTATTGCCAAGGGGACGTGGAGCTGTGCACAAGGGGTGTCAGACACAGGGTGATACCCCTCCTTGGAGGGTGGGGGCGGTCCTTGGCAGTGGCTCATGTCCCCTTCTTGCAGCGAAAACGGTGGGGGCCGGATGGGAGAAGCCAGGTGTGCAACTCTTGCCTTTTCCCACTAAGCATTGCTCTCCTGAAACAGGAGGCCTGGGCTGTAGCCCATGAGGGACCCCAGGGGCTGCCACCCCCCTCTTGTCTCCCCTGCAGGGCTGAACTGGCAATGTCCTGATCATAGAGATGCCAGCAAGCAACACATGGGAGGACACACACCCCAGGAAGTCTATCCTTCCACAGCTTCTCCTTTGTCACCATATGAAATGTTTTTGTCACCAGTCTCTCAGGTTCCCCCAGGAGGTGGCAGGAGCAGAAATAGCAGAAATAGGAGGATGCTCCAGAGGGAGGCAGACCGGCAGACCCTTGTCCAGGGCTCTTCTTCCTCACTGTATGAGGACATTTCCCCACCCATGGATTGTCTCACAGGTGACAGGGCTGTGCTTGAACCCCAGTTCTCCAACGGCACCACACAGGAGGGCAGAAACATGTGCTTGGGGCCACAGTGGCACTGCGGACATCAAGGGGATGTGGTGCTGCGCTGGTCCCTTGTCATGCTGTAGGGCACTGTGGTGGCTGCCAGTCCTGCTGCTAGTGCATCTGCCTGCTGCTGCATCCAGCGCCCTGGGGAGAGGGGGCAGAGCCCTGTCAGAATCAGAGGGCCTGGGGATGCCACCTCCCCAGGGCATCCAGCCAGATATTTCACCTGTAGCCTCTTTGCAGGGGGCACACACCCCTTCACCAGCTGCTCCAATGCATTCGGGTAGTGAGCTCCTCGACATGTTTCTGTTCCTTGCCAAACCATCCTCTCCCAGAGAGAAACCCTGGGGGGCAGACGTGGGAGAGCGGGCAGAGGCTGGCAGCCACCAAGGCCAGCACCCACAATGTGAGATGTGTCCACTGCCCCTCTCCTGCCTGAGAGCAGGCAGCAGGAGAAACCCGCCAGCCCCATGCCGGAAAGGGATCCTGCACCCTGCAAGAGGCACAGGCACAGTGCTTCAGCCCCCAGCCCCCCTCCCTGTTCCTCACCCACCTCTCAGCAGCTGTCCAGCTCCCATGTGCCAAGGGACACCCAGCAGGGCCAGCCAAGTCCACACGTCCATGACAGTGTCTCTGTCACACCTGGATGAAGAGACAGAAACTCTCCCTCCCTCCCGGTGTCCACTTTCAGCCAGGTGCCAGCTCCTATCTCCAGTTTGTGGCCACCATCAGTGGGTTTTTATACATAAATAGAGCTTCTAAATTTAAATAGATGCTTCTTTTTTTTTTTTCTGTACAGCAAGTCTCAAAAGTGAGTAAAAGCCAAAGGAACGGCTGAGCCCGGGCCCGGCCCGGCTCTGCCATCCAGGAGGTAGTTTCGCCTGAGTCTTGTAACACTGCTGGCAAAGGGGTGGGAGAAGGGGCTGAAGGGGAGGAGGGTCCCGCTGGCAGAACCCCCCTCCCCGGCCCCTACACGGAGCTCTCGTCCAGCTTCTCCACCAGCTGCGTGTGTTTCCGCTTCTCCAGAATCTTGCTGAGCTCCTCAGTGAAGGATGCGCTGTAGAGTGGGGAGACCAGAGGCTCCTCCTGCTGCTGTAGCAGCATGTAGCTGTTGCCATTCATCTTGCGGAGGACGTTGGGCAGAGCCCCCATGCCGTTGGTGAGCTCAGCTGGCAGCGGGGGCGGCAGCGGGGGCACAGCAACCGGCAGCTCCTTGATGGGGGAAGTGGCAGCCGTGGGCGCCTCACCAGGGATGATCCGCAGGCAGCCATCAGGGTAGGTGAGCTCTTCCTCCTCCTCCTCCTCCTCCCGGTGGCCCTTGCGCAGGCAGTTGGCTGAGACGGTCTGCAGCTCCACGCTGGATGGCCGTGGCTCCCCCAGCACGTACTTGCCCTTGCGCTTCTCCAGGCAGGACATGTAGAGGAGGACGGTGCTGAGCACGGCGCAGAGCACCACCAAGGTGACAATGGCAGAGATGTAAGCCACCTTCATGTCGTTGGCTGCCTGGCTGGCAGCATGGGGTGGGGTGGCAGCCGTGGGGCTGCGGGGTATCTCGGGCAGCACAGTGAGGCTGTAGGCAGCCAGCAGTGTCTGGAGACCCCGCTCCTCCCCATAGCAGCGGTACTCGCCACTGTGCTGAGGCAGCGTGTCTGTCACCAGCAGTCCATCCACCCCCACGCGCAGCCGGTCCTGCCCCATGCCCAGCACCTCACTGCCGTTCAGCAGCCACACGGCTCGGGCCAGGTTGGAGCGCTGGTCACAGGGCAGCAGCACATCGTCTCCCTGCAGCACTGTCCGGTTCTTCCATGGCAGGGAGCCTGTGGGGACACACACCGCCTCACACCTGTCCTGGCCACCCTAAGGGACGCTGGACACCAGCATCCCCGTGGTCCCAAGGGGTGGCAGACTCACCTCGCCCGGAGATGCTCCGGCATCCCTTGTTGCCGCTCTGAATGTCCTGCACCAGCCCTGTGCTGCAAGGCAGGGGGAGCTTCAGCCATACAGCCTTGGTGCATACAGCCCACCCTTTACAAGGTCATGGCCACCGGAAGACCTACCACCAGATACTGGCCAGACCTTTGGGGGTGGCTCTGGGGTGACTGTGCCATGGGGTGATACACAGCAGCATAGGATGGGGCAGGTGGAAGGCTTGTGGGGACCCAGCTGGGGACAGGCACCCATCCCTACCTGTCCGTGGTGGCGGTGGCACGGCAGGCCCTGCCATCCCAGGCACAGTAGGGGTCTCGGGCGAGGATGCAGTCATAGCAGGAGGTGTACCTGGCACAGGTGGCCAGGGGCACCTGCACGATCCCACTGGCTGCCCCCACATACAGGCTTCTCTGATGGGGAAAAGACTGGCTCAGCATTGATCTGGCTATGGGGTGCCCCATGGTGCCCAGAGATCCCCCCAGCAGAGCTCTCCCTTGATGGGGATGCATGAGAGGGCCCCCAGGTTGCAGTCAGTGCCAATGGGCGCAGCTGGCAAGGAGGCCAGGCTGCCCTGCTGCACTCCAGCACATATCCCAAGCTGGGCTGACCCAGGAGTCACATCCCCCCACTCCCCCAAAGAGCCCAATGGCAGCTTCACAGCACAAGCATGACCCATGTGTGATGGCCCCCTACTTCCTCTCTCTCACCTGGGCGTGAGAGATCACCAGGCTCTCCACGGGCTGCAGGTCCCTAAACACCTGCACCTCCTCCACGATGTGGATGCCAGAGCCCACCACCACAGCCTTGTGAAGCCAGCCGTCTCCTGGAGAGCAGAGTGGGGGGTTCAGGAGGGAATGTGTGATGTGCCCCCTGTCCAGCACAGACCTGGCAAACTTACCCCACACTCACCTGTCCCCATGAAGAGTACATCGTAGGAGTGGCTGTCCAGGGCCTGCACTCTGTCCACGGCCAGCCGGCTGTACGCCACGCTCTTCTTCACCAGGAGCGGCTCCCCACCAGCCGGCTTCACCTCCTCAAACATGAGCGGGTGCAGCTTGACAAAGTCCAGGACGCTGTTGGGCAAGTCCTGCGAGGAGTTGTAGCCCTTCCTGCGGGAGTGGTCCGTGATGCACTGCTCAGGGGAGATGGGGGTCAGAGGGAAATGTGGCTGCCCCGTCCCTCCCCTGCTCTGCACCCCCAGGCACTCACAGAGCCGGGCCGGGGCTCGGGCACTGCACCATCATAGCGGGCCCACTTGCGAGTCGAGTCCTGGTACTCCATGTAGGGGCCCTCAAAGGCACGCTGCACTGCCGAGATGCTGTAGCGGCACACAGCCGAGGCCTCCATGGTCCTCCTGAGGGGCAGAACCTCACCTGAGTCTGGACAGACACATGACTGCTCCCAACTAATGCACCCGCAGGTGTGCAGCACATGCCTGTATATGCCCTCAAGCATCTCTGGTTCCCTCCCCCCCGTGCTGTAGATTTGTAGCCCCAGTTGTTTCGGCTGCTGCCCCACTCACCACTGTGCTGAGAGCGTGAAGGCAGCATAGAAGACAGTGCTGGCCCAGCCACCTCCGTCCAGGCTGCAGACGCTGCGCAGCACCTCGTAGTAGGGGATGTAGCAGACCAGGCGCGCCTTCATGAAGGACGTCCACTTGCGCTGAAGGATCTTCTTCCCCCCCACATCACTCTGGGAGGGTGCGGGGAGCATTTTTGCACAGGCTGGTGGGGGTGTGCATTCCCCTCTACCCCTACCTCAGTTTCCCCCCAAATGGAGGCATGCTGCCCCTGCACCAAGAGGAGCAGTGCTTGGCTCCCTGTGGCTGGGAACATGCCTACCTTGCAGACACGGGCAACTCGAGCCACTCGGGCCACATGACTCTTGTCAAAGAAGGATGTGGTCTCCTCTCCCGCCCTCTCCGTGAAGAAGTAGTAGATTTTGTCATCATCACCTACAGGGCTGTCCCTGCTCTCCCGGACCAGCACAGATGCCACGAACTCGGCATCTGGGGACACGGAACAAGAAGTGGAGATTGGGGACCAACCACAGGATGGGGAATCCCTCCCTGCCTCGATTTCCTCTCATTGCAAACCACACAGGACTCCAGGACCACTCCCCACCCCTGCTCCACATGCTCCAAAGCATCCCACAGCCCATGATGCTGGTCACAGGACTGGGGGGACATGGACATCTCACCATTTAGCCAGTGCAGTGGGGACTCCTCTGTCTTCAGCGGTCGCTGGTGCAGGTTCCTCCGAATGTCAGGGAGGCTCCGAAACTCGTAGCGTGTGGCCGTGTACAAGCCGCCATCTGAGCAGGGCAGGTACCCATCAGCATAGCCCTGCACCCTGAGGACAGCCCCACAGGCCACCAGCATCCCCATGCCCCAGGCAGATGAGGCAGAGGAGGATCAAATCCCGGCTTGGTAAGGCCGCTGCACGCAGGGGCCTACCTGGCTGGCACCGCCTGCAGGGATGCTGGGGATGGGGCCAGGATTTGTTGGCATCCCACATGTCCCCGCCAGCCCTGGAAAGGTGCCACTTACCCACAATGAGGCCGGTGTAGCCACGGGCAGGGTCATATGGGCACTTCTCCTTGCCTTCCTCAAAGTGGGACGGCAACATGAACCTGTTGGCATCCTTGGGGGGGAAAGGGAACCTGGTTAAACAGGAGGGGACAGACGCGCCTTACCTGCCAGCCTCACGCTCTTTGCAGAGGCTGCTAGCAGGGACAAAGCAATGCCCACAGCCGTGCCCTTGTCCAGGCAAGACAAATGCCCCCTGCACCCTCCAGCTGGTCAGAAACCACGTGAACAGCCAGAGCCTCCAGCCAACAGCAGGGAGAGAGCTCTGCAGGGGAGAGGAGCCCTGGCACCCCACTTAAGCATCACGTGGGCACTGGGCACGAGCCAGTCAACGCAGCCAATGTTCCCAGGCTATGCCTGGCTGGCAGACGCTGCTCAGATGGGCTGGGCTCCCCCAGGTGCTGTCCCTGTCACGGCAGGAGTTATTTTCTTTGGGGTTTGCAGTTCAAAGCATGTCAAATAATGATGGGGCCCTTCCAGCTTGGCAGCTCCTCCACCTGATTTCCAGTACGCACGATGGCCAAACCGGACCAGCAGCACAGCCATGGGAACAAGCATGGCCTCTCCAGGGCTCCCTGAACACGCTGGGGACATGGCCCCAGGACCCCTTCTCCCCCAGCCTAGGGAGGGAGGTGGACAAAGGGCAATTAAGTCTCCACTGACTCAAGGAGCTACTGAAAGGGGGTCAAAGTCCCATTGCCAGTGAACAAGGCTGCTCTTGGACACTCTGCCCTGAGTCACAGCCATGTGGGAATTCCCAGCTTGGCCCTGAAAATCCCTGGGGAGGGGCTTCTGAGTCAGCCCCACCACTGTCACCCTTCCTGGGCACGCTTATGACTGGCTGTCGGCCATTCTGCAGCCCCTGCTTTGAGGAGAGACCCTGTAATAGCAGGTGTTGGGGACCAGCCAGCTCCAGGGCTGGCACAGCCCATCCTGCTGAGCCCACATGCATCCTCCATGGCACCAATCCACCCCCAGCTCTCTCACTATGGGGTCAGAGTCCAACCTCAGTGCCAAGGTGGGGACTTTGGGCATCTGCATTGTGGTGAACACATCCTCAAACCTACTCAGGCTAGCCTGGGGATCACTTGCCTCCCCCACGAGCCAGGGAGGTGCTGGGACAGGGGTAGAAAGGGAGTGGGGCTGTGGGATGAGACAGTAGGAGAGGACAGGGGGCTGCACCTCCCCAGGGTGACATCGTGGCAGGGGACAGGTGACAGCTGTGGGGTTGAGCAGTACTCACGATGGCAGCACAGAGCGGGTGGAAGGCGTAGGTCCCACAGGCGTAGAGGTGGGTGCTGTTCAGACGCTGCAGAAACCGCACGTGGTTGAAGCACTCGGTCTGTGGACGGGGAGCACAGGCATTACAAGCCAGGGAAAGCAGCAGCAGCCCCCCCCCCAGCACCCACCCACTGGCTCTACCTTGTTGTTTTTGCCCTTCTGCTGGCAGTCCATCTGCTTCTCTGGGGAGGCTTCCCAGTGGATCTACAAGGGGAAGAGAGTTTGCTATTGTGTGATCCCCATTGCTGTGTGGTGCCCTGTCTCTGCAGGCTCCAGCCTCTATCAGAGCCATCAGAAATGATAAAATCCTCCTTTATTTAGAGAGGGTACGGTTCCTCAGAGCACAAGATGACACTCTGCACACATCCAACCAGCCCAGGCTGAGAGTGGTCCCATCCCCCAACCGGTGGGCAGACACCCCAGAGCACCTGTAGGAACCTGGAGGATTTTGGGGTGCCCCTCCCTGGGGGAGCAAAGGGGTGCAGTTTTCCCCCTGCCCCTTGTTCTGCTGGGGTATCCCTGAAGCAGGCAGTTCTGAGCTTGGGGGTGTCTCCCACTGCTGTTCCCACATTGCCTGGCTGGGGAGAAGCACCAGGAGTCCACAGGAGATCTGGGGACAGACCTGGAGACATCCCCTTCAGGCAAGACCTGAGATGGAGAGCGGGAGGATGAGCAGGGACAGAGTGGCCATGATTCAGACAGGGATCGGGTAGCGTGGGACAGGAGAGGACAACCAGCCAGCAGCAGGCAGAGGCCGGGCTCACCGTGCGGTGGGAGCCGTCGGCCACGTCACTGGAGTTGAGGGCGAAGATGGCTCCCCTGGCGCCCACATAGAGGATGCCCCGGTCGTCCTCCAGCAGCAGGGTGCTGTAGTTGAGGGTGTGTGCGTTGAAGCGCCGGACGCCCGACAGCTCTGCAAAGGGAACAGGGGTCTGAGGGGGGACCCCGGGGCAGGCACGGCGCAAGCCACTGGGAAAAGACAAGAGGACGGAGCTGGAAGTGGGCAGGAAGGCACCCGCTGAAGTTATCAGGAAGACAGTGCTTGGTGCCAGCAGTTACAGCAGGAGGAAAGGAAGAGAGGAGGCTTGGTAGGAGGCAAAAGGCACTAATTGGGCTCAGGCTTACTGCAGAAATTTCTCCCCACTAATTAAAGCACAGCTCAGAGGTGGGAGCTGCGATATCCATGCCCAGCATGAACCTGCCATGGTGTTCAGGGAATTGCTGAAGGAAGCAAAAACATCCCGGCAATGACCCCGGCTCTGAACTGAGCCCAGCCAGCCCAAAGGGAAGGATAAAAAAACCTGAACCAAAACTGCCATGCAAGAGGAGGGCTTCTGCAGTGAGGCTGGGCACTCCTGCCCACCAAACCAAAGAAACTACCCAATTTGAGGTGCTGAGAATTGTGAGGTGGGACTCAGCCCTGGTTACGGGGACCCCAAATAAGACTTGGACCCTCCCACAGCAGGAAGAGGAAATCCCATGAGACTTGGGACTCTGGAGGCAGCTGCAAAGGTAATTACTACCCCCCACCAAAAAAGGAGGCATTGCCTGGAGAGAAAAGGCCACCCCAACTACTAATGAAACTCTCCCCCACCACTGATTGTTGAGCTGAGCTTCACTAACAAGGTCAATGAAGTTGTGTGGATGCCCAAGGGACAATGACACTTCTGAGCTCACTGACAACACACAGGCTGGATGTCAAAAGCCCAATGGCAATTAGAGAAAATCAGGAAGAAAGCTCCAACTATTTGAGCCATAAGAGCCCAGCCCAGGTGTGATGCCCAGCTAAGGACACCCTCCAAGGGCTGCTGGGCAGGGCCAGGGGCTGGCCAAGGCTGGCTTCCTGCATGTCCTTGTCCCCCTCTGGCTTTTGGGGAAATGACTTGAGGCACCCAGTGCCAGACAGCCATGTGGTCTCCGATTTCTGGAGCACAGGGGACCAGAGGACCCCTTGTAGCCACCACTCCATGCTGAGCCCCCCACTCCAGCAAGGTGGCAAAGATTAGATGCAGTCATGGTGCACCAAGGCCAGTGCCAGCAAGATCCCAAACCTCACTGCTGCCACCAGGACCCACACCCCCTTACCATCAAAGGTGACTGTTGTCCTGGGAGTGGCATCCAGGTCGGTGGCAGACCGCCGTGATGGGTATCCCATCGCTGCCACCACCGCCATGACAAGAGTCGTCATGACATGTGCCGTATCTCCATTCATCTTCCTGCTCTTGTGGCAAGGGCAGCTGCCCCAGCCACTGCCAGCAGGTTGGCACAGCTGATCCTCGGGACAGGCTCTCCAGCTCCCTGGGACAGGGCTGGCCACCAAACCCTCCTGAAACACAGAACACCAAGTCAGACACTCTTGCTGTCCCAGCACCTCACAAGCAAGCTGGCTTGAGAAGCAGCCAGCTGCATAGACGCATGAATGCTTGACCAGGCACGGCCTCATACCAGGGATGGCTTCAGGGAAAAACAAACCCTCATTAGCCAAAGGGGAAACAAAGGCATGGCACAAGGCGTTGAGCCTGCAGCCAGCACAGGCCATGGAAGGGAGTTGGAGTGGAGGGACCTCCTGCAGCATCCCCCTGAGGATGACCTCCCTCCCCTCTGTCACAGTGGGGGCAGTCGCTTACTGACTGCTTGGGTCAGCTGCTCAGAGACTCATTTTCCTCCAGGCTACTCCATCCTTTGCTCCCAAACTTCTGCTCTTACAGCTCCCCCTGACAGAAGGATATGCTTTGGCACAGCCAGCTGATCCCCCATTGCATTTCACACCCAAACAGCAGGCACATTTGCCCTCCAAAAGCAAAGAATGGGGCTCGGGGCCAAGCCCCTCTGTGAGTCATTGGTACACTTGGGTACCCCAAGTCCCGCTCCCCTGAGTGGCTGCAGCAGGATGGGCAGCAGTGGGGGTCCTGGGAAGCCCAAGGTCTCCATTCCTTTCCAAAAGCCCAGCTGGCCATTTCCTGCCATGCAAGATACTTGTCCCCAGTTTTGCCCCTCCTGAAATGATGAGACTCCCGAGGACAGAGGCATGGGAAGGACACTTCAGGCATGCAGAGACACAAGGTGAAGAAAAACCCATACAGGAACTATTTGGCATCTCCATCAAGTCTTTTCAAGCGGAAACAGTTTTTCTCCCCAGTGTTTTTCAATGACATTTCAGTTTCTCTTTCATCCCAAGCTCAGCATCTACTTTGGCTCTCACTTTCATGCATTTTTGATTCCTCACAAATAAGCCCCCACCTCTCCCAGCTGCACTGAGCAAAGCCATCAGTTCATCTTGCAGGCATTAAAAGACAACTGTGTATCTCTGAGACAAGGAGCTCCCCAGAAGCAACAAGCACCTCTATGTTTGCTTAGGGCTTATAAATATATATATACATATATATATATATACACATATATATATATAAAAACCAAATACCTGGCCCTGTAGAGAAGCTGCTCAAACATGCTCAGTGCAGACGATTTCCCTGAAGCAAATACTTTGCTGTGTCTAGGGTAAAGGGGAGGTAAAACTACTGTGAAACCAAAGTGAAAAGAGCTTTGGGGCCAAAAAGGAGAAGCAAAGGGCTGCATGTGGATTCAGTCATAGTTCTGCAGCTTGCAACAAAGCGGGCTCAGACCCAGACCTCACACCTGCACTGGCCACTGCTCCAGAGCATTTCAGGAATGGGGAAGACAGGAAATGCGTCCCCCTGCTCCCTGCTACCTCACTGCCCCCCAGGAACCAGACAAGCACAGAGTGCCCAAAGAGCACCCCACCCTGGGTGCAGGCAGGGTGCTGCCTGTGGGACTGAGCTCCATGGAGAGCAGATCCCAGAGCATCCTCCCTCTAAGTAACTCCTGTTTCTGGGACAAGCCCTGTCCAGACCAAGGGTCTGCCCATGAACAATGGGCCTGGTAGGACAATGCAAGGCAGGTGAGTGCAGATGGAGGTCAACGAGAAAGTAGTTGCTTTGGTGATATCACGTCTAGCGTGAGCCAAACCCACCAGGCTTTGTGGGCAAAACAAGTGGTGGGGTCACACCTGAAGTACCAAACCCACTGGCCAGCCCTATGCTGACACCTCTCCATTCCACCAGTGGGAGCAGGACCACTCTGGCAGCTGCAGGGACCCTTCCTCAGGACTCCACACAGGGACAGGAGCCTGGAATCACGCATAAGCCACAACAGCTGCTGGACCTGGGATGGGAAGGTAGGGGGGAGTATGAAACTTTTTATGACAAAGCAAACAATGATCTCTAATAAACAAGTAACAACCCTACATGCTGCCAGGTGTCCTCACCCTATCTGCCCTTGACAAACAATCCCTGAACTTTGCCTGCTGCTTGGCTCCTGATGCGGTGGGGATTGGAGCTGGGAGCAGGGCTGGGCAGGGAGGCAGGGATGGTGCTTATCGCAGGGCAAGCACTGAGCTTCGAGCCAGCCCCGGCTAACATTTAACCATTGAGAGCACCGAGCCAGCACAGGGGGAGGAAAACAAAAATAATAAATTAAGCTGGGGGGCTGTGCAGGATTCCTAGCCAGGCAGGGGGCAGCAGCCTCCCATGCTGCCAGGGCTGGATCCTCTGCTTTTTCAGAGAAGCAGCTACACCCATGTCCAAAGACTCCTTTGCCTGAGATCAGATGTAACTTTGTCCTAAAGAACATTTAATCAGTTACGCTGTAAGAGCTAGTTAATATTTTACTCAAAGGGAAGGGCTGTTCCAAGCTTCCCTATTTTTTTTATTTTCAAGTTTTTATTTTTCATACCTAGAGTGGGGGAGAAAGAGCAAGAAGGAACTGAAACCGTCCTTGGCTCCCCTCAGGTCATCACCCTGGGCTGCACCCACACCAAACACCCCCAAACACATCACTTCCCTCTTGTCAGGATGCAAGTTCTAAGCTAAGGGTAAAGCCAAGGGCCCAGGCAGGAAGCAAAGGAGGTCATGGTCCATGGGACACACTGGTAGGGCTGGGGGCAGCTGAGTTGCTCAAGTACAGCACTTCAATGGGAAATCAAGAAAAGCTGGAAATGGAAAAGCCACAGAGTTTTTTCTAGCGGAGAGAAACAAAAAGCAGAGAGGGAGAGGCTGAAAAGCAGCAGCAGCTCAAATGAAACCAAGGGTTTCAGAGAAAAACTGCCCAGAAAAGCCCAGCTCTGCCCCCTCCCCCCAGGAGTGAGCTCCCAAGCCCCTTGGCACCTCACCTACTTCCCAGAACAGTGGGGGCCGACATAGGACCTCAAATCCGACCTCAGCTCTCACCCCAGCTGGCGACACTGAAGGAGGATGGTGGAAGCAGGACACAGCCTGGAGAGGGCTGAAGCCTGGAACCAGCCACTCTAGTCGCAGCATGTAACATCCATGGAGGCAAAAGGTCACCCTCCTACGGCTGGCTATCGGTACTTCTACAGGATTCAGCCGCAGCTCCCAGCATGGAGCCAGACCCAGGCACCATCTCTCACCAGTGGGGTGGGTTTGCTGGTCCCTTGGGAACACCAGGAAAGCAGCGGGGCGGCGGAGGCGTGCCGGCGTGGGTGAGCGCGCAGGGGAGCGAGTGAGCCCCGGTCAGGTCTGACTGGGTTTACTGGGTCACGACGGAAGCTGTGTGAGCATGACTCTGTCAGCATCAGCCTCCCACCGGCAGCCAGCCGGCACAGCACACCCAAACGGGCTGGCCCAGCCGGCACCTCCTTAAAAACCCCATGACCAGTGTCTCCGGAGGAGTAAAAAGCTTTTGATGAGTGAATTTCACGGTGGCAGGTCTCGCCAACCTGGATCTGACCAAGGAAACTGGCCAGGGAAACCAGCCAGAGCTGCCACACGCCTCGACAGCAACTGCACCAGGAGCTTCTGCAGCACATGGTGGCCCCTTCCCACTGCCCCGTAGCCCCCAAAGTCAAAAGGCAGCAAAACCTAGGAGCAAAAGCAGTCTGCAAGCTGCAGTGCAGAGAAGCTGCACTGTCTGTGGGGCTGGCAAACATGGAGAAACCTCAGACGGGGTCTTATGGACCCCCATGGCCGTTTCCTTGGCAGAACAGCTAAAAATTATGTCAGCTTTTTAATTTCAAAGGAACTCAGGAGAAAGAGTGGAAATGCTGGGTAGGAGCAGCACTTCTCCAGCTTACCCTCAGCATCCATTCTGGATGGCAGGACAGAGATTTGCAGAGTGAGATCAGTCTTTCCCATCCCACCGCTCCCTAAACAGCTCGTGGTTGCTCCACAAAGATCTAGTAAAGCCCAAGGAAGCTCCCAGAATGGCTGCTGAACATTTCTCCCCTCTCATGGGCTGCTCCCCTTAGCATCACAGACCACCACAAACAAGCACTGCTGGCTTCCCAGTGGGAGCCAGACATTTCCAGTAGGTCTCCTATAGGTTATGAGGTTGCAAAGCAGCCTTAACAAAGTACCCATCAGGGACTGCACCAGAAGATACCACTTACACTTGGCTTTTTCACGGCAGCCCAGCCCAGTCACTTCAAACCCTGTGTAGCTGACTCAATTTTACTCAATGGGACCAACCATGGCATGTGCCCCCACAGCCCCCTTGGCTCCCCCACCACTCACTCCCCCTGCCACATTCCCACTGGCCCTGCACTGTTTTACCTCCCCCCAGGGACCTGCACGAATTGCCCTCAGGTTCAGCCAAAACAGCCCAACTTGTTCCGGGTGCGGGTGGGGGGAAAGGCACCAGCCCCAGGGGATGAGATGGGGAGAGCTCCCAGGCGTGGGAACAGCCACTGAGTTATGGGAAAGGAGCCATCCGGGGATGGGAGACAAGCCTGGCACCGGCCTGGCTGCAAGCGCAATGCGTTTTGGGCCCCTCTTTCCCGGAGGCGGCAGACCTTGGGTGGGAAATCCTGCGAGATGCGGGAAGAGGAGACGGGATGGAGGTTGCCAGGCAACTTTAATTCAGCCCTTGACGAACTTCCAGCACTTTGCTTCTGCTGCAGAGCCCAACCAGCAAATGATAAAACATCAGATCCACCTCGAGCCAGTGGTGTCCATCTGTCCATCCATCCATCTACTCAAGAGGCTTGCTCATGGCCTCGTGCCTGGGTTGCCCTGCAAGGACATTGGTCCCCCCGGCAGCATTCCTGAAGCCTGAGATGAGCCACTGTTCCCGGCACAGATTTGCAGGGGCAGGATTTGACCCGTGGGACTGGACTGGCGCTGCTGCACAGATATTTCTCAACCAGCCATGATTTTTGTCAACAACAGCGAGAAAAAAATGTGAACTTGCTGAAAGCCCTCCAGGAAGAGGGGATCCATGCTGGGTGTGTGAGGGAAGGAGCACAGTGACCTCCTGGGAGCCCCTCACTGGGTTTATTTTAGTTGCTTTCTTTAAACAAAACCATGCTTGACCCTGAGGTGCTTCAGCAGACACACACTAGAGCTTCCGCTATTTAGGAAGAGTACATATCTCTCCTTTACCCAAATTTGGGATTTTGGGCACAGAGGAAGGGAAGAAGAGCTGCAACATAGGCTCTTCTCACGGAGCATCCTGCCGTGCTCCCTGCGCAAAGCCCCCACGCACAGCACAGCCACCATGGAGCCAGGGAGGCGGGTAGTGCGCTCCAGGCCATGGGAACGGGCTCTGAATTTCCACAGCACAGCCCCCATCTGCCATCAGCAGAGCCCAGCACATCCGGCAGAGGAGAGCACCCAGCTCTGATCCCAGCCACGTCACTGCAGGGAGGAGACACATGAAGGAGAAAAGTGATGGATGGGAGAGTGAGCAGGGACAGTCAGGGATGTGGGCCAGTTTAAGGGGCACCAGTGCCGATGGGAGCCAGACATCTAAACAACCCTGAAAAGACAAACTGATCCCTCTGCAATAAAACCAACAACAGCCCAATTTCCGACAAATTCACCCTCCTGGCCCCTAGCACCACATCCCCCTGCAGCATTCCTCTGGGGAATGCTGCCCACCCAACGAGGCGCAGGGACCAGTGATTGTGTCTCCTCTGCATGGCTGCAGGGATCAGGGTGTGTTAGCTTCTCCCAGGCTCCCTGTTTTCACTAATCTCACAAGAACTTGTTCCTCTCCTCCATCAGGTCGAGTCTGATGTGGAGCAGAAGGTTCAAAGAGGCTGCCAGGCAGCAACGGAGCTCACAGCCAAGTCTCCATGACAGTTCTCCAGCCATTCCCACCCAAACCCATCCCAAAAAATCCAACTGAGAAAATAAAGAAAGCTGCTCCAGCCTGTGCCATGGGCAGGCATCACCTGCCTAAAGTTGTCCCTGCCAGGCACGGGGATGGCTCCACTTCAGCTGCTCCTGACATGCCACAAGCAGACGGCAAGAGCACAGTGCCCAGGATGGCAGAACAGAGCACTCCTCCACTGCCCACCCTAATGGAAAACCCACCGACACCAGCTGTTAGTTGAAACAGTTCCTTGACTAGCTCTAGAACCCTTGCTCAGAGCTGGCCTCAGAGGGAAGGGTAGGAGAGGAGGCTGAAGGCCAAACCCTTGCAGCTCAGCGGTGGAACCAAGAGCACTAAAGGATGTCACAGCTAGATTAGATACAGAACCCCCGGACAGAGCAGCAAATCTCCCCTTTCCTGAGCAATTCCGACATGCTGGAGGCCATTTGGTTCTTGCAAGGTAGCAATGAGGACACAGCCCCCATGGCTTTTCCCTCCTTTAAAGCCCATATCCCCCCTGTGGAAACCCCACAGCAGAGCCCTGGGGTGACCCCGCAGCACGGGAGCACCTGAGAGCCCAGCAGGGAGTTGTGCAGGAAATGGGAAGTGTAACTAGATGTTGCCGAGACTCAGCAGCCTGGCTCTGACTTCATCTACCACCAGCACACCTCCACACCAGGCCATGGGGGAGGCAGAATGTAGCTATCAAGCCCCGGTATGTGGGGTGCACATCCCCGGGGGTCCCACCTCCTCCACTGTGAGGAAGAGGCAGGCTCAAAGCTAACAACATCACCCCAAACCCCAACATCTTCTATCCTTTCCTGCCTGATTTGCAGCATGACCACTTGCCAGCAGCCTGGACTGACAGACAGACAGCCCTCCACATCACAGCAAATTCTCCCAGCGAGGGGGCGTCTGCATCCAAGTGGCTCAGTGCTGTATGCAATCTGCAATTCAGCCTTCAAAGGCTTTGTGGCTGAAGCACATTGTCTCCTCGGCAGAAGCAGCAAAATAATTGCAGAATTAAATTCCCAGGAACAATTAGAAAGAAAATGAGAGAAAAATCCCAACCTTAAATGTAAAAGGACAACTCAAAGCCAGCAGATTTCAGGGCTTTTTGAGGCATCCATTTGCTCGTCCCTATGGCTGCACTGTGTTTCATTTCACTGGGCTCGTACAATGCAAGACACGGAATTAACTCGGGTGTTTGTTTAGAGCCGGTTTGTCTTCCAGTTTTTTTTCCAAAGCCAGGTTTGAGTTTCAAAGACGCTTCTTGGCAATGCCTGGGGTTCCCACCGCTGGTGCGGTGTGGGGCTTTCCCAAGGGGAAACAGAGGCTCAGGAATCACACACAACCTAGGTTCCCCTTGGAAGCGGGGGCAAGAGGTGGAGCACAACCCAGCTTGTCTGGCGTGAAAGTGGGGCTTTCTGCTGCAAGTTTGTCCCTCTGCCTTTTATTTATTCCAAAGATAAACTGTTTTCTTTTCCAACATCCAGCAAAACCAGACGATGGGAGTAGTTTTAGGGCTTCCAGCTTCATCATCCTCTTCTTGTTTCTTTCACTTTTCCTCCAACAAAGCTTCAATATGGGGTCAAACCCAATTTTGATATTCAAGTTTGCGTTCAAAACTGCACAGCACAAAGCGGCAGTATCTGGCCTTTCCCACAGTCGTTTGCATACCACCAGCTTTGCTGCCCCAAAACCAAATCCCCACATTATTTACATGGGCTGGGCTTTGCAACAGGCAAACAAGAGCCCTCCATCAGGTAACGGAGGAGGGATTGTACCTTGAGGGAGCTTTTAAGCAACAAGAAAAGCAGAACCCAGAGCACACCCTGAATCGACAAGCTGCATCTTGGCCCCCGCACCAGTCGGTAACACGGTACCTGAAATCCTCATCCTCCTTCATCTCCAAACAGCAGAGCTCGGGCCCTGGGAAGAAGGAGGGGTGGATTTGGTGATGACCTTGTTATTGCAAAGCCCTCATGCTTGTAAATCACCAGGAGCTGGTGGCACAGCCAGGCGGGGAGGGATGACGGCAGCAGCATTTCCTCCTGAAGCACCAGCCCGGCAGGGAGCTCTCACCTTTGAACAGGAACAGGCGCCGCACCACTGCTGGGGGAGGGGAGGGGGTGGAAAGGGGGAGGGAAGGGGGCTTTCGCAGCAGGGATACATAAAAAGCTCTGAGAGCATCATCCCCACCCCTCCAAGAGGCAGCAGGTCCCCCGGGACAGGCTCCCCCCGCCACGAAACCGCCCTTCACATGAACCACTTCCCAACAGGTCTCGTCAAGATGCCAAGCAGAGCTGGCGGGCAAGCACAGGGAGGGAAATTCCCCACACGCAGCCAGGCGAGGCTGGCACCACGTCTCCAATGCACCCACTGCTGCCCTCCTGCACAGGTTGCCGGAGGAGCCCCCCTTGCTAGCCCTGCTGAGCACACCTGGATGCTTTTTCCCGGCACATGACCTGCCAGATTTGCTAAATAAACCTCCCAGCTCCGGCAAACCCTCTGCATTCCTGGTGGGTAAAGTGGTGAAAGGTTCAAATGGATGTTGGAAAAGGCAGGGGGGGAGAACAAAACTGTAACACAAAGCCTCATCTGCAGGAACCGAAAGGGTGTTGGGGTTTGGGGTTTTCTGTTCCCCTCAGGTTGCAACACAAAAACAAAGACATGATAGGGATCTTTCCTGCTGGGGGCAGCTCCCTGCCCCTCATCCCTCTGGGCAGAGCAAGCCTGGCCAAACCGAGATGAAGGAGAGACCTGTCCTGCAGGGCAGCATCCCCGCAGCCGTGATGGTCATCCTGCTCCAGGTTCGGGGCTCAGGTTGGGGGGGCCCCAGCCTGTGCCCGCTGCAGGGGGAGGCAAAGCAGCCAGAGCCCAC